CATTATAATTTAAAAGCCCTGACAAATTTTAGAGAAAATGCTACAGTCATAAGCAAAATAAGATTTGAGAATAACTTTATATTAGAAAAAAAAAACTCATAAAAAGTCACTAAACCATTCAGAAGCAAGAGAAACTCCATAGTACAAATTTAAAGGCTCAAAAAGTGGTAAAAAGTAGTAATATAATATGCCCTAACTTTTGAAAATTCAAACGTTTCACTTTCGTGATTGAGAAAAACGTTGTCTCGGGCTTGACCGCGACTTTGAAATTCGAGTATACAGCCGTCGCAGCGCTGTCGAGCAGCATCCAAGATTTCTGTCATGAATGCTATCATTTGCTATGCTTCGGTCGCATTGCTCCTTCTGCCTTTCTCGCTATGCACACGTGAGGAGACGAAAATCTTACTCGGGTTTAAATCCAGCCTTGATGGAAATGCCACGATCTTAAGCGACTGGAAGAACAGTGGCAGCAATTACTCAAGTCCCTGTGGCTGGGAAGGAGTCGCCTGTAGCAATTCTTCTGTCCGATCGATCCATCTCTCTGGTATGAACTTGCGTGGACGCCTCAGTGGAATCAACAATCTTTGCCAGCTTCCAGCCTTGGAGAGCATCGACCTGTCAAGCAACAATTTCAGTGGAGGATTTCCAGACCAGTTGATCGAGTGTGTCAAGCTTAGATACCTCAACTTGAGCTTCAATGGCATCTCTGGTGAGCTTCCTGCGTCGGGCTTCCGCAATCTTAGCCGGCTGCTGGTGCTTGATCTCTCGCGGAATGGAATACAGGGACAAATCCCTTGGGACATGATGAGCATAGAGACCTTGCGACTACTTGATCTCTCCAGGAACAACCTGAGTGGCACTATTCCCTGGAACATCAGCATGATCAATCTAAGAATGTTGTCCCTGGCAAAGAACAAGCTAACTGGAGAAATACCTGGTGAGTTTGGCAGACTGTCCAGGCTCCGCGAGCTCCAGCTGTGGAAGAACATCCTTTCGGGGAGGATTCCTCTCGCATTTTCTCAGCTCAGGCGGTTGGAAGTGTTGCGACTAGCAGGGAACAACCTGAGCGGTGGCATCCCCGTGGAACTGGCCAGGCTTCCCAGCTTGAGACGCATTTCGCTCTTTGATAACAGACTTGGCGGTGAGATCCCACAAGAGTTTGGCCTCCACTCTGCGCTCGAAGACTTCGAGGCAGCACTGAACGGTTTAACTGGTCCATTACCAGCAAATCTTTGTCGAGGTGATCGCCTCAGCTTCGTCGGTCTGGATGGAAACAATCTCTCCGGCAGCATTCCTCCTTCATACTCCAACTGTACAAAACTGGAAGTCTTCTATGCACCCAGCAACCAGCTCGAAGGGACCATTCCCGCCAGCTTTTTCACTCCAAGTCTACTGGCCCTCAACCTCTGCAGTAACCAGCTCCATGGCAGCCTTCCGGCGAGCATCGGCAACGCTACATCACTTGCCTTCCTCGGAATTTGCAACAACGAGCTCAGTGGAGAGCTTCCTGCTGGATTTGCAAACCTGGTTGATCTGCTGGACTTCTCCGCAGGAAACAACAGGTTCTCGGGCTCCATCCCGCCAAGCTTGTTCTCTAGACCGGTCATGCTGGATGTCTCCGGCAACAACTTCAGCGGAGAACTTGGCATCGACAACAGCAGCAGCCATCTCGTCTTCATGGACTTGAGCAGGAACCAGCTCACTGGAAGCTTGCCAAGTGAGCTCTGTGGTTTCATCAACATGCACGTACTCAGCCTGGCCTTCAACCATCTCGACGGCTTCATTCCAGACTGCCTTGGAAACCTGTCCTCGTTGCAAATCCTCGACCTCTCGCACAACTCTTTGCGAGGAGAGTTCCCAAGTGAGCTCCAGGGACTCCGAGGATTGCAAGTCGTCCCTCAAGGCAACAGGCCGGCGTTCCCGTTCTTCCCAAGAACCACCGACTGGAAGCCTTTTCTAGCGCAGTGGACTCAGATGTTTGGAGACTCGGTATACTTCGACTGGAGGACGGCATTCCTAGATAGCCGGAACTTGTTCCGGCAAATGCAAGGCTACTCCATCCTTGTCGACTGGAAAGGAACGTTTCGGCTGGTTGGAGATGTATTTACCACCACGACGACCATAGATGTGTCGTCCAACAGGCTCACGGGCTCCATTCCACCAGAGCTGGGAAGACTCATCGCCCTCCGGAGCTTAAATCTCTCGTTCAACAGCTTCTCTGGAGGAATCCCTGGCGAGATTGGTCAGCTCCAAAACCTGGAATCCCTGGATGTATCCAGCAACCACTTATCTGGCCAGATTCCATCCTCGCTCACTAACCTTGGATACCTGGCCAGCTTCAATGCCAGCAGCAACGATCTGCGAGGAAGAATCCCAAGCGAGAATACCTTCAACACCAGATTTCCGGCGTCGTGCTTCCAATCGAACAGCGGTCTGTGCGGATTACCCCTGATCAAGAGCTGCGGCGACACCAATGCGGAAGAAATGGCGGCGCCACATGCCACAGATATTTCGGTCGAGGCATTTGCAATCGGCACCCTCGCCGGCTTCGTGTCCGCGCTGGCCGTGACTCTGTTCTTTTATCGCCCATAAGAAAAATATGTTTTTGTCCGCCTGAAGTAAGCTATCTCTTAAAATCATAGAGATATTTGTTCATTCAGGACAATTATTTTTTATTTCTTTAAATTATATTTATATATTATATTAGAATTTAGATTTAAAATATAAATATTTGGAAGCACTCAGTATTTATTCAAGCCACAAATGTTTAACTGATTTTGAAGAAGAGGATGGAATTTGAAGTTGGCCATCACAACAATTAATGACTGACAATAACATTTAGCCAATCCATGAAGGACCATTTAGTGATGAACTGATAAGTTTTATAATTAGAATAAACTCTACACTATGAAATTAAGTGTTATTTATATTGGAAAAGTAGATACAGAAAATTAATCTTTTTAGTAAAACCAAGCCTCAATCTGATTGTGGATATGATGGGTTGGAGGTAATGCAAATAAAATTGCGTTTATGATCCACATGTAACCTTTCGTTTCACAAAGAACTGCCATGGCGACTCGACCGGGCCATAACCTCTGACCGTCTTCAAATTGAATCGCAATTCCCAAAGATTCCACTATGAATCTATGTTATGTTTCGTGCGCAGTGCTTCTCCATTCACTTCCGCTGTTCTCACTGTGCATGCAGGAACAAGACGAGAAGTTAGTCTTGCTCAAGTTTAAATCCAGCTGTTGGAAGTACCATCTTAAGTGACTAGAAGAACAATGGCAACAATCCCTGTGGCTGGACGGGAGTGGTGTGTCGCAATAACTCTGTTGGATCGCTCCATCTCCGTGACACGAATTTGGATGGACAACTCAGTAGTGGCATGGACAGTCTTTGCAAACTTCCAAACTTGGAGAGCATTGACTTGTCCAACAACAACTTTAGTTCGAGTGCGTGAAGCTTGCGTACCTCAACTTTGGAAATCCTCCACTAAAGTTGTTGTTGGACAAGTCAATGCTCTCAAGTTTGGAAGCTCACCATTGTAGCTCACCCGACCTGCCCAGGTCGACCATTGTAGCTCACCACTACCAGCGAATGCTTGCCGAGGTGGTAATTTCAGGTTCCTTGCTGTTGCTAAAAACCAGCTATCTGGCAGCATTCCTCCAACTGTACAAGACTGGAAGGCATTCTGGCGCAGAGGAACGAACTCCAAGGAACGATTCCAAGTAGCTTGTTCTCTCCAAGGCTGCTGGTTCTCAACCTCTGCAATAACCAGTTCCATGGCAGCCTTTCAGCGAGCATCGCCAATGCTACATCCCTTGTGAACTTCGGCAATGCGCTCAGTGGAGAGCTTCCCGCTGGACTTGAAAACCTGCGAGACTTGCTGGACCGCTGGCAATAACATCTTCTCAGGCCCCATCCCATCGAACATCTTCACCAAACTAGTCAAGTTGGATCTCTCTGGTAGCAGTTTAACCGGAGGCCTTGACATCGAAAACAGTACCTATCGTCTCGCCTTCATGGACTTGAGCAGAAACAAGCTGACTGGAAGCTTGCCAGATGAGCTCTGTGGCTTCGTCAACATGGACATACTCAGCTTGGCCTTCAACCACTCAGTGGATCCATCCCAGACTGTATTGGAAACCTGTCCTCGTTGCAAATCCTGGCCTTACGAGGAGGAATTCCAAGTAAGCTCCAAGGACTCCGAGGCTTGCAAGTTGTTCCACCAGGCAACAAACCGGCATTTCCGTTCTTCCCCAGAACGACTGACTGGAAATCATATGTTTCACAGCAGGCAAATGGAGATGCAATATACCAAGAGTTTGCTCGCAACCGGGCTTCCTTCCTTGACACTGCCATTCTTGTCGACTGGAAAGGAGTGTTTCGTACAGTGGGAGGCTTCTTCGTGTCGTCAAATAACTTGAGTGGCACCATTCCTCCAGAGCTGGGTAAACTCATCGCACTCCGGAGCTTAAATCTCTCCTTAAACAGCTTCTCTGGAATCATCCCTGGCGAGCTTGGTCAGCTCGAAAGCCTGGAATCCCTAACCACTTGCAAGGTGAGATTCCATCGTCGCTCACTAACCTCGGATACCTGGCCAGCTTCAATGCCAGCAGCAATGATCTGCGAGGAAGAATAGCGAGAATACCTTCAACACCAGATTTCCAGCGTCCCGACGACGGATTTCCAGATTTCCAGCGTCCTTCGCGGCTTGTGAGCGGCCTGTGAGGACGGATTACCCCTGATCAAGAGCTGCGGCGACACCGATGCCAAAAAAGAAGCAGTGGCGCCTCACGCAGGATACATTTCACGCGAGGCATTCGCAGCCGGCGTCCTCGCCGGCTGCCAGCCCTCACGCTGTTTCCATAACCCTAAACTAAATAGGATATACTTTTGCGCGCCAAAAAGATTTTTTTGTGGATGAGGCTGTGGCGTCGAGCCGTCGGATGCAAATCGAAGCAACGCCAGTCGTCCGATGGCGGATGAGGCGAGCGAGCACCACACAACTTTGAAATTTAGGGCTCTCTAGCGAGAGGGGTAGAGGCAATGGCGTGCGCGATCCCATCGATGACGATGGCCGGAGCTTCCCGATCCAGAAGGTGCGTCGCCAGCCCGAGCGGCAGCTGCGAATTTTCCAAGCTGCGCCGCTCGGATTTCGTCGGCGGCGGCGAGCTGTGCGGCGAGCTCGAGAGCAGGGCCAGCCGGGGACGCTCCGTGGCGGTGTGCAGCCTCAAGGATCTCCGCGATCGCATCGACACGGTGAAGAACACGCAGAAGATCACCGACGCCATGAAGCTGGTGGCGGCGGCCAAGGTGCGTAGAGCCCAGGAGGCCGTGGTGAACGGCCGCCCCTTTTCCGAGGCGCTCGTCCAGGTGCTCTACAACGTCAACGAGAGATTGCAGCTCGAGGACGTGGACACTCCTCTCACCAAAGTGAGGCCCGTGAAGAAGGTCGCGCTCGTCGTCGTCACTGGCGATCGAGGCCTCTGCGGAGGATTCAACAACACAGTGCTCAAGAAGGCCGAGGAGAGGATGCGGCAGCTCAAGGACACTGTGGAGCTCACGGTGATCAGCATTGGAAAGAAAGGCAATGCTTACTTCACGAGGCGGCCATACATCCCACTGGACAAGACGTACCAGACCGGCTCGGCTCCCACAACCTCGGAGGCCCAGGCCATCGCCGACGAGCTCTTCGCGCTGTTCGTGAGCGAGGAGGTGGACAAGGTGGAGCTCCTCTACACCAAGTTCGTGTCGCTCATCAAGTCGGAGCCAGTGATCCACACGCTGCTGCCGCTCTCTCCACAGGGACAGGTCTGCGACATCAATGGAAACTGTGTAGACGCGGACGAGGATGAGATGTTCCGGCTTACCACCAAGGACGGCAAGCTCACGGTCGAGCGTGATACGTTCAAGACGGAGGTGACTCCGTTTAGCGGAGTCATGATCTTCGAGCAGGAGCCCGTCCAGATCCTCGACGCGCTGCTGCCACTCTACCTCAACAGCCAGCTCCTGCGAGCGCTGCAAGAGTCCGTGGCCAGCGAGCTCGCCTCGAGGATGAACGCCATGAACAACGCCAGTGAGAATGCCTCGGATCTCAAGAAGAGCCTGTCCATCACTTACAACCGGCAGCGACAAGCCAAGATCACTGGAGAGATCCTCGAGATCGTTGCTGGAGCTACAGCACAAGTATAAAAGAATTTTAGCAGCTTCAAGGAAGAACCAAGTAAGTACCTTGATCATCGCTTTGTCGTCCAGTGCTGGAAATTTTTAGCCACCGGCCAGCAGCCATTTGCGAGGAGCTATGTAAATTCTCAAGGAAGAAACAAACACAACTCATCAGTCGACAAAAAATTTCCCGTTATTAAATTTCAAGGCATCGCTGTGATAACAGTAAATAACTTACGTGTCCAATATAGAACCAGCCTTTGTCTTTTCGTTCTCACGATTCGGTGAGAAGCCTGTACAACAACAACAACAAAACTATTTCTCGTATCTTCGCGTACCAGTTCTCAAAAGAGATGGTTGAGGAAGAGGACCAGCCATGCGGTCATCGTAAACACGGCGCATATGTGCTCCCAGAACAAAACTGCCGATATTTCTTTCTCTCCATGGCCCTGAATGCTTGCCACGGTTCCTGGTAAAAGCGAGTCGCATTAGAGAATGGATAGAATTTTAGCACTGACTTACCAGCTAGAATCGACGATGGCATCGAGTGTTGCAAGAGAAGAACGAAGCGGAAGAGTTTGTTCTGAGCGGGGATGAGGCTCAGTCGATCTGCCCCCTCCACGACAAGTAATCCGATCGCTGGCATGACTAGAAGCCTCACAACCGTGATCGTAACGGTTGTTTTCATGCCAAGGCTGGACGCTCCCGGGCCTGCCATCGCACACCAGCAGTTAGGAAAAGGACACACGGTCTTAAAGATTAGAATGTGTGTACCTTTAGCAAGGCTTGCACCGAGGACGAGCATCATGCAGGGCACCATCGCCGACCTGTGTGGCATTTAGACGTGGCGTTTAGATTCAACTGAACGAGCGTTATTTAGAAGCGTACCCCGTTATGTTCAAGGCGTCAGACAGAAAAAACAGCGCTCCATCGTCATCCAAGAAGAGGTACTTCAAAAATGGTATTGCTCCTACGACAAGGGCCAGGATCTAAAGACACCTCGCGACTTTGAGAAAGCACGATGGAAGAAAAGCAGACTTACTGAAGCGTTTATCGCTGGCTGCATGACACTCCTGAGAGTTGCCAGGAACTTCCTCAAAAGTGCATGCTGCAAAGAAACGTCACTCGTCAGTGCGTGTTTGACAGAGCATAAAAGACTCTTGAACCTTGTTATGTGCGGGATCCTTCCACTCATCTTCTGCATACGCGGTAAGCTGCGGGTAGTCTTTCACCACAGGAACCTCGAGGGGATTCACAACTGCGGTCTGGCCGTTGATTTTTATCACCAGAGGCTCCGTCAAGTCACATTCTTGAATGGCGGTGGTGTCACCTTTCGGAGGTCTCAGCATGCGCATCACGAACGTATATGCTATCACCGCTCCAACCTGCACGCGTTTGCTCAGAAAGCGAAGCAAATAAAGAGATGAAAACAACTTATTACCCATTGACCAAACGATATGTAGGCCACGGATTGCGCATTGCACGTCGCGGGGTCGCCAAAAGGATTCTCGTCGTCACGACACACGGCTCCAAGCAGCACAAGAGGGATGTTCCCGATATTCCCTGGCAAAAGTCACAAAGAGAAGTTAGAAAGAGTCACTTACGAGAGGTTAGATTATGCATAAACTCGAGTGAAGCTAGCAAGTATAACGCACCAACACCGATCATAACAATCGTCAGATTGAAAAACTCTCGAGGAGGTTTGATGATGACAGCCACAAGCCATCCAAGAGCGCAGCCAAGAATTGTAGCGAGCAAAACATTCACTGGAATGAACCACCTACATCACAACATCATCATATCAGTATCGATCAAACATTAAGAAACTACAATCTTCACACCGACCATTCGAGCATTTTCTGCAGTGTCACTGCCGATCCAAGCTTCGTGAAGATTAAGCAAGGTAGAAACAGAGTAAAAACAAGCTACATTAAGAACAAAGCAAAGTGTTAAGCACGGCGAGAGCACGACAGAAAGGGACACACAAAATTTTTCGCGCACCTTGCTCAGTTGCTTCCTGGTGTTCGCCGTGAGGATATTGATCCGCGGTGACGCCATAATCGCTCCCAGCGCGCACATTACAAGGACCTTGGCGATCGGCATGAGCGAGAAATCCAGGAGCCGCGTTATCGGCTCGTTCTGCTGCTCCATGCCCGCACGGAGCGCTCGAAGCACTGCGAATCCGGCTCCTACCATGGCCGAAGCAAGGGAAAGACGACGATGACGAAAATATTCCAAGAAAATCAGAACGCCATCGCGGAGAACAAGAAGAGAGTAGAATCGCAAGCGCGATTCCAGAGAAGAAGACGATCGATCGACTTTTGCGCGGGCAATGCGCAAAAATCGGGACAACGGAGAGCGCACGATTCTTCTCCCCCCCGATTAAGCAGGGGTCCCTCTATAATAGACCTAAATCCGCGAGTTCTTAGAGCCGGAGAGTAAAATATTCGTTTGCCCTTGTGACGTGTCAGGTAATTCACCATATAACACCGCCAAACACTACTTTATTTACGTGGTGGTCCAAAGCGGACAATAGGGATCAAACCAGGTGTCAACTCTTTGCTGGTCTCCTTTACACGTATACCGGTTGTTGGATCGATTCTCATCCCCCACATTTGACCGGTCCACAATAGGCAAGGGTATATCCCAGAAAACTTCAAATGCAAATCCATCCATGTAACTCTTTAGGCAGAAAGTCCATTTTGTTCTATACAAACGCTGCGTTTCTCCTCAAATCTCTTCCTCTCGTCAGCGAAACCACCACTCTCTGATAGAATTTACAGTGCCTGATATGATCTTGGCCGGGACGAGCGAGCTCACAACTCCGATGATGTCCGTGTCGTTCTATTCCTTGAGCTTGAGCGGTCTGGCCTCGAATCCCCCCTCGGCTCTCTCCTCCAGATTAAACGGCATATGAGTCCCCAGGATCTTATCCCACATCACGAAGAAAGGCTGCGAGAAGTTATACTTGGTGCCGAAGAGCTGGTGGTGGATGTCGTGGTAAGCAGCGTTGTTCCGGAAGATGGTGTGGAAGGGATTCCCCGGGATCATGATCCCGCAGTGATCATCCACCGTCTTGATCGTCGCGAACGAGAAGAAGAAGACCGCTGTTCGTGGTGTCATACCCGAGGCGAGAAACGAGAGCGCGCCCCCGACCGTGTCGAGCAAGAGGCCCTCGAGAGGATGGTTGTAGAGGGCGCCGAAAGCGTAAGGCACGACGAGTCGGTGGTGGTGAGAGTGGACGTGACGGTAGAGGAACTTGTTGACATGCATCAGGCGGTGGACAAAGTACTGCCAAGTATCCATCACCAGCATCGCAACCACGAACTGGAAGAGTTGCATCGCCAGCGGTGGCTGGACGGGATTTTTATCGTCGCTCGGCTTCTGAGACGTGATCTGCAAAGAATAAGGTTGAGTGTTAGAACTATCGGGGAAAAAAAAACTAACTTTGCAGTACCAGATCAAGGACAAGAAGCTAACCGAACTTTCAAGAGTTTGAAATAAAGCAAAAAACTCCATCCAACTCGCTAAGTCTACCGAGAAACTCCACCACAACTTTATCTAAGTAGCGGAAGTTTTGACCCAAAAAAAAAAAGATTTGGACAGGAAAAAAAAATCGTTCGGAAAAACAGTACTTTCACGAAACGAAACACTAACGAGAATGGCCAGGAATTTGACATCAAACGACAACGAACGCTACCTCACATTTTCCACAAAAGAGATAGAGATCTCACCGAGAAGAGCAAAATCGCCATCGACGCTTGAATTCCCTGCTGGAGCAGCACGCCTTTGATGACTGTCGGCATAGTCACCAGATTTCTGCTACTTTCCTTGCGTGAGTGAAGCCTCAAGTGATCCAGCGGCGGCAGCAAGTGGTAAAAACCGGCATAAACCCAGTAGACCACCAACGGCAGCACCGTTCCCATCAATTCATCGCTTGCATAGCCTTCCCAGAACACCATTCTTGCTGAAAATCCTTGAAATTCGTCACAAATCCCTCCGCCTCGCCCCCAAATTCTAAAAGCCCCGCTCTAGGCGCTGTTCATCGATTCGCGATATCCGTGCTCGCGGATCGCCCAAGAACACACCTAGCATTGCCTGCCTGCGGGTCGCATCGATCTTGTAGGAGTAAAATTGCAGGCTCTCAGCTCCAATACCACGCGCATCCTTCTCCCCACAGCGAAGAACCCTAGAGGAGGTCAAGAAAGAGAGGTTAAACCAACTTATTTAGATTGTCTGTTTAACTAACGCAACACCCAACAAGTCCAAGGCTCGAAGCCGGCGAGCGTTACGCCCATCCGTCGATTCCCGTTCCTTTGGTGCTGCGTCCCTAGGGTTTCTTTCTCTCTTCTTCTTCCATCGCCCGCTCGCCTCGCCATAGCTAGGGCTCGCCGATCTCTCCTCTCCCCCGGCGCATCCTGGCGCGACCGATCTCCTCGCCTTGTCGTGGCGCGAATTGGCGCGATGCAGCAGCATTTCGACCGCGGTATGCCGGCCGTATGATCGTCACTCTTCCTTGTTCGTTCCGGGCATTCTTGGGGGGCTACATTTGTCCCACAGCGTGTTGAATCCCCGCTCGGCAAATTTTGGAAGCATCACGAATCCAAATCCAGAGCAAGCAACAAAGCTGGTTTTTATATTCGAGAATTTCTTCTTTACTGGGAGCTGGATCCATCGTTGAGAGAAAAGAGAGATGCTGGAATCCACTCGGGCAGCGGCATTAGCGAGCAGAATGGACTCTCCTCCCCGAGCTTGTAAGTGTTAAATTCCCCATGGCTCAAAAGGTAGATCCTCCCGGTGGCATTGCTCATCCCGGCAAGCACTACTACATGCTCTGGCGCAGCTTGTTCGAGATAGATCAGAGGTATGCGCCGATCAAGCCGATTGGCAAGGGAGCTTACGGCGTTGTGTGCTCGGCCACAAACTCCGAGTCTGGCGAGAAGGTGGCGATCAAAAAGATTACCAACGCGTTCGAGAACACCACGGACGCGCGGAGGACTCTGCGAGAGATCCGGCTTCTCCGCCATCTTTACCACGAGAACATAATTGGGATCAAGGACATCATGAAGCCGGTGGGAAGATCGTCATTCAACGATGTCTATCTCGTCTACGAGCTCATGGACACGGATCTACACCAGATCATCAGATCCTCGCAGGCATTGACGGATGATCACTGCCAATACTTCATCTATCAGGTACGTAGCGAGCGAAAAAGCTCCTTTTGTTTCAAAGTGCTAAGAGCTCGTTTCAAGCAGCTGCTACGAGGACTGAAGTATGTCCACTCGGCTAATGTTCTTCACCGGGATCTCAAGCCCAGCAATCTCCTCCTGAACGCGAGCTGCGATCTCAAGATCTGTGACTTCGGCCTGGCGAGAACTGGCAGTGACAAGGGCCAGTTCATGACCGAGTACGTTGTCACGCGGTGGTACCGAGCTCCGGAGCTCCTGCTCTCGTGCGAAGAGTACACGAGCGCGATCGATATGTGGTCAGTGGGCTGCATCTTTGCGGAGCTGCTGGGCCGGAAGCCAATCTTCCCGGGCAAGGACTACATCCACCAGCTCAAGCTCATCATCAACACAATTGGATCGCCCGAGGAGGACGACCTGCAGTTCATCCTGAGCAACAAGGCCAGGAGCTACATCCGCTCGCTGCCGTTTGCTCCAAAGATCCCGCTGGAGCGCCTCTATCCGAGAGCCAATCCACTGGCGCTCAACCTCATCGACCAGATGCTCGTGTTTGATCCGAAGAAGCGGCTCACGGTCACAGACGCGCTGGAGCATCCGTATCTCTCGATGCTCCACGACGCGGCGCTGGAGCCATCGGCATCCGCGGCGTTTGAGTTTGATTTCGAGGATGAGGAGCTCCGAGAGGACGCGCTAAGAGAGAAAGTATGGAACGAGATGTGTTACTACCACCCAGAGGCTACCAATGAGTATAGCTAAAAGAACAAAGAGAAATAGAAAACATCAAGAACTTCCAGGTCTCAAGAGCCCTAACTGTTGTCCGACGTGGCGTGACAGCGCGGATGACCCTGCTGACGTGGAATGGATAGCATTAGGGTTTCTTGTTATTTATCTTCTCTTGATCGATGGTGGAGGAGCTCGATTTCGATGTGGAGATCGGCAGCGCGGGCATTGGCGGCGACGAGGATTTCGATGAGGAGTACGAGGATCTCTACGACGATGTAAATGTAGGGTTCTTTCCCCAGGAAGCGGCTGCTCCTCCAGCTCGTCCAGCGCCATCGCCAGTAGCGGCAGCGCCAGGGAAGGGATCTGGTGAGCTCTACCCCAGGGACGAGCAGGACAGGACGACAGCGCCGGCTAGGGTTAATGCGGCGCCAGAGAGTTTCAGCAAGGATGAAGATCCTCCCATTGCCACTGGCGAGAGCGCTGCTCCAGCAGCTCCTATCGATTCTTCGCCAGGGATTCTCGCTCGGCCGCCACCGCAGCAGCAGCAGTTCGTGGATGCGAATGCGAAGGCGGGGATTTTCATCTCGGAGCTTCACTGGTGGACGACAGACGCCGATCTGGAGGCCGCGCTGGCGGATTTCGGGCGGCACAAGGGGCTGAAATTCTCCGAGGAGAGAGCCAGTGGCAAATCCAAGGGCTACTGCCAGGTTGAGTTCTACGATCCACTCGCGGCCCAGCAATGCAAGGAGCAGCTCAATGGCAGGATTTTCAATGGGCGCCCTTGCGTCGTCCAGTACGCCACGCCCCAAGTCCTCAAGCAAGTAAACGCGAAGAGCCAGAGCCAGAGCCAGCCATCGCAAGCAGCGCAAGCTCCACAGCAAGGCCAGGCCGGGAAGAAAAATAGCGGCGGTGGCGGGGGTGGTGGCGGCGGTGGTAGAGGACGAGGACGCGGCCGTGGTGGTGGTGGTAACAATGGACAACTTCCGCTAGGAGGAATGGGGCTGTTTGGCGATCCGGGCTTTGTTCCTCCGATGAGACCGGGCATTTTCGGGATGGGATTCATGCCGCGGGGTCCTGCGTATCCGATGCACTACCCGGGCGTGCCGCCGCCTCACGTAAATCCAGCGTTCTTCGGACGGGGCGGAGCAAACGGGCACGCGATCGCGAATGCTGGAGGGTGGAGTAGCGGCGGATGGGAGGAGAGCGAGCGGGGCGGCGGTGGCGGGTATGGTTTCGAGGACGAGGATGGCCGAGGTAGCGGCAAAGAAACCGGCAAAGCTTCGCGGGATCACAAGGATGGAAAGGATTTGGATCGCGAGAAAGAGAGGCAGCAACACAGGGACAGTAGAGATCGGGATCACAACGCTAACAAGCCCAGCAGCCATAGCTACAAATCGAGAGAGAAAGGAGAGGATTATAGCGACGAGTATAGCAAGAGGCGGCGCCACTGACAATGCTTTGCGAAGATCATCTATGGTGATCGATACTACTACTAATTTTTTCGTTTGGCGTGAGTATCGCAATCGACTGGTTATAAACCCTAAATCCTCGCATATTTTCAATGTGCCATGGCGGTCCCTCGCCTCCTCGACTCTTCTTGCGCGGCCCTAGCCAATGGCGTCTTCCAGCGCTCGTTCTTCCGTCGATCGAGAGGGATAGCGGCTTGTTCGTTTCGATCCAGGTATTCCTTGGCAGCTGCTGCTGCTGCTGCCGCGGCGCCGAAATCCAAGAAGGAGCGCAATGTCCCGACGCTTCTGGAGATCGAGGCGCTGGCGGTGGAGGAATCGCAATCGCCGCGGCTGGAGAGGGGCCAGGTCGTGAATGCGCTGCTTGCGCTGCTGGAGCGCCATGGGATTCCTTCACGGTACGCTTTCGAAGTTCTCAGGCACGCCGACAAGATTATCAGCGGCTTGCAAGAGGAGCAAGAAGATGCTACATTGTCCGATACGCACGATCCGCGCAGCAATCTTTCTTCCCAGGCACCGAGAGCTGCCGAGAGCGGCGTCTCTACAGTGCTGGCCCGTGCCGAAGAGAAGAATTTCTCCAAGCTGGTTTCCTACTTCCACAAGCTCGGGATCAAAGCCTCGGACGTGTCAAAGGTGATGCCGTTCGTTCTAGAGTCGGGCGTAGAGCCAGTGGACACAATGGTGGAGTTTCTCCAAGGCGTTGGTGTCAAGTACAACTCCTTGGCTAGAGTGATCGCGGCGTGGCCCAAGATTTTCCACCATCACCCCAACGATCTAGCTCCCGCTGTCGTGGTACTCAACCGGCTCGGTTTCACGTCCATGAGCCTCTCGAGTTTGGTGGCGAGAGCTCCACAGCTGCTCTCGAGAAGCGCGGATGATCTCACTCAGTGTGTCACGTACATGGCAAGCATTGGCTTGTCTCGCAGAGACACGGAAAGGCTTGTCAACCGGTATCCATCGGTTCTCATGGATGGGGAAAAGCTGAAAAGCCTGGTAACTTATCTGGAAAGCATTGGAGTTCGGCAAACCAGCATCGGACGGATCATCTCCAGAAAGCTTTCTCTTCTCGAGACGGACGCTCAGGGTCTGGCTCCCCTGGTCGATTTTCTAAAGAGCACCAACGCCACCGCCGACGACATCAATAAGATTCTCTATTTGTATCCAGGACTTCTGGGATACAGTCATGAGGTGAGAAGCTCTGCCATTTTCTCTAGTAATCACCCTGAGCTTGATTCGCAGGCCCTTTGCCGAGTAGTGTCTTCTCTCGAGAATCTGGGCGTGCCACCATTGTTGATGGGAAAACTGCTTAGAAGACACCCCCGACTGCTGACGATCAAGCATGACATGCAGGAGAGAGTTGAGTTTCTCTTCAGCTTGGGCCTAGTGCGCAAGGACCTTGGCAAAGTGAGTATAGTTTCTTTAAAGTATCTGTGCTGTCGAAAGTATTGCAGGTTTTGTTTAAAGCTCCGCAGCTGATGACTCTTCACATCAAGGACAACATGATACCGACCGTGCGCTTCCTTGCGAGTCTCGGTGTTGATGTCGTCAGGGTTTGTGCAGTCATTCGTTCACGTTTCCATCTACCTAACGGATTTTCAACATTCTCAAGGTTATGCGGTCCAAGCCAATGGTTCTGGGCTTGAACGTGGAAACCAAGATCCGTCCGAACCTCAAGTTCATACAAAATCTAGGCATTGACTCGGAAAGCATCGGCAAGTAAGCAGCACTTTGCCGGGCCCTTGCTTGACTTCTGAATAACTTTCCTCTCGTGATGACAAGGGTGCTCAGCCGATGTCCTCATTTGCTGACTTTGAGCATCAACAAGAAACTACAGCCAACTGTGTGCTTCTTCCTCGAACTTGGATTTCAAAGGCAAGTGTTACAACAAAATCTCTTCGTTCTTTATTTGTGTGGTCCTGCATGCAGAAAGGAAATTGCCGACATGGTGAAAAGATTGCCATCGCTCCTGGGCTTCAGCATCGCGACGCTTCTGGTTCCCAAGTACGAGTTTTTCATGAAAGCCATGCATCGGCCTCAGCGCGAGCTCGTTCATTTCCCTCAGTTCTTCAGCTACAGCCTCAACAAGAGGCTCATACGCCGGTTCGAGCGTCTGGGGAAACACTTTCACGAACAGGGTCTGAGTAGCGTGTATAGCTGTAGTGACTTGGTTTTCGAGGAGAGGTTCGCAGAATTTTTGAAAAAGTCCAAGTCGCCCGAGAGCAACACCAGGGATTGTAAGCAGCAAGGAGCCATGTGAAGCTTTGCGAGCGGGCACACGCCATCAACGTCAAGGTCCAAGCACAGCATCTTCAATCCTCGTTTATTACGCTCTCATTCAAACGCTGACATTTGTTTTCGCTTGCATTTGTCTAATGCTTTCTTCCAGGGCCCGTGGCAGGAAATTAAGACAGCTTTGCGTTGTTGCTGTCGTCGCCGGCCCTTGCTGCTGTCAGGGAACATGAAACGGATCTTCGAGCCACTGCTGTTAAAGTCGGCAGCTACAGCGTTGCTGTTGCTGCTCGGAGCCAGAGTAGCCAGGATGGATCATCTTATTTTAGCGGGGAGTGAATTATATAGAGTTTACAACAGCAACAGGTACACTATATTTCTTCTCTCTTCTCCTTAGCCGCTCACTGACTGACTCGTTTTCTTTTCCTGGTTTCAACTCTCAACCAGGTGTCCGATCCATTGACTGCCGACATGTGTCACACAGCAACCTGTAGCAAAAAACCGGATCGAGCCATTTAACTTCGACGGATTACTTTTTCGGACAGACTCAAGCCTCCCCCAGAGCTAGCAGCCAGGCACAGCACGATATACAGGGAAAGCATCCACAGCCCAGTGCGCAGCAGCAGCAACTTCTGCTAGAGATAATATCGAGATACTATTAAGGCGCCGACAAAGTCTTGCCCGAGATGTTGGAGAGTCCGACAACGACACCACCGAAGAAGAACAGTGGCCCGAAATTCCGGGCGTCGGCTTTAGCAGCACTCCCAGGCCGACGCAGCGACCAGGGGCCGACTGTGCCACCCAAGCGTGAGGCAGCCATCTTTCTCCTCCACCCGGTATCCGTCACCCGAGAAGAGCGTGAGTAGCATGTTGGCCTGCTTGAACGCGTTGGAGCCGAGATACAGCGGCTGGAAGCCCGACCTCGCCATCCGGATCCGCCACTGCGTCAGCGTCTCATGCCGCTCGGTCCGCGCGGCACCCTCGCAGGCAACGATGTTACCAATCTCCTGTCCCAGGTACGTCTCGGCTACCATCTGTTCCACACTCCCGGGAGCTAAGTTGCAGGCCTCGAGCGAGTCGAACATGGTGGAGTAGTAGTGGAGTGCCGCCATGAAGCGCTCCATGAACACCGGACTGTTGTGATCGGCGTCCTGCTCCACCAGCGTCACGATCTTCGGCTTCAAGTTACGTACCAGCCGGAGAACCTCGTCGATAGGACTGGACCGACGGCCTCCGCCACCATTGCCGCCAGCCGCCGGATTCCCCCCATCCGACGGCTCCTCGACGAGCGCTTTGTGCATCTGGAACACCGAGTTGACGGCCACAGCCTCGCCGCGACGCACGGTAAGCATCCAGGGCTGGACGTCGTTGAGCCGCGCGGCAACCACGCCGTGGAACGCAAAGTCGACGTTGACAGAGTCGGCGAGCTGCGCGAGCTTGAGACCGATCTCATGGAGGAGGTCGTGGCGGTGGGGCTGCGGCGGGCCGATGCCGGTGAGGCGGAGCGTTGGCGGACCGCCGGGGCGGAGGGCCAGCGCCTGGATGAGAGCCGGCCACTGGAGGCCATACTGGAGGTCCAAGTCCACGACGTGGACGCTCTTGTGGCCCTCGAGCGCTTCCAGGATGGCCTGGTTGGCGGTGAAGTGCGCGAACTTGAGGTACGGACACGTCTCGTAGAAGTGGAAATGTAGGATCTCATCCATGGCGCCGTTGTTGGTGTTTCCAGGATCGCTGCTCTCTTCTTTGAATTGCTGCTGGCGCTGCTGCTGCTGCTGAGACTGGTGGTGATGATACTGGCGATCTCCGCCACCATTGTAGCAGCTGTTTTGGATCCTCCTCGAGAGGGCCTCCACGAACTGGGTGGCGACGCGAGCCATGGCGCTGCTGCTGCTGCTGGGGTGCGCGACGAGTATCCGGAGCTGCGCCACCATGTCGCCGGCGGCGGCGAGGTCCCCGCGCTGGACGGCGTTTGCGCAGGCGAGCAGGAGGTGGACGAGGCGGACACCGCTCAATTCGTCGCTCTCCTGGATGGTGGGCATGGCGGCGGCTGACGTCATACCGCCGGCGGCATGTGGCGGTATGCCGTGGGGTGACGTCGACGAGGACGAACCTGATGCCGGCCTCGGTGTGGTGGAAGCAGCAATTTGCGAGTGAGATGCTACTACTCCTACCTCGTTCTTGCTGAGATCCATCTGGTCGGCGTAGAGCACGTTTGGATTGAAGGCGGCGCCGTAGCCTTGCTGCTGGTGCGGCGGCGGCGGCGGTATACCGCCGAAATCCAGGTGCTGCTGTTGCTGATGAGTGATCGTGGTGACCACCGATTCCATATCGGAGGACGAGGTAGCGGTGGGCTGCTGCGGAACGAGCTCGTCCAGCATGCCCTCGATCCAGCTGACCAGATCCGACGGGTTGTAGTGGACGGTGTCTTGTGCCAGGATATCCGCGGGCGCCGCCGCCCCTAGCAGGCTGTCGAGCTCCTCGATCCGCTGCGCGACGTGGGTCAGATCGCTGGCCCGCACATTATAGCCGGCGTGCGCGAGCAGCTCGTCCATTCCCATCGCCGATTCCTCCTCCTCCTTCCACTGCATCATCGGCTGCTGGAAATCGCCGCCACCGACGCTGGGCTGCGGTCCTACCGGGATCATCCGGCTCTTCCTTTCGTAGACCGCCTCGAGCATATCCATATCCTCCATTCTCTCGCTCGCTCCTGCTATGATCGAGAGTTTTCCTCTATCTGGGTCGATTCAAACCCGCGGTGTGAGGCGCGGTGCTGGATCAGAGGCCAATTGGGTGCTGGAATTCGCGGAGGGATTTCGTCTCCTCTGCGCCGATGACGACCGAGTGGCGCGCGATGGTAGCGGAGAGCGAGAGGACAGAGAAGAAGGGATGGGAGAGTGGGAGTGAGCGGTGGTGGAGATGGTGGTGCCGTGGTGGCTCCGTCGCCCTCCTCCTCCTCGCTAAGCAATCGCCTTGGATCATCCCCTCAACCTAGGTGTTTTCGACACGCATTTTACCCGCGCAATGGAGAAAATATGGAAAGTAAAACACGTCCTTCCACGGGGGAGTGTTTGGGCATCCAGTAAAAAATTTGGCCCAACTGGCATAGGCATCCGCAACAGTGGCCGTGAAGGCGATGGCCGCCACCAAAAAATAAGATTAACAAGACATTTTAGCGTTAAATCGTTTGTTTGGTTTTGCGGCCTTGTGAATAGTCTTGATTCCGCGAACGAGGATTGCCAAAGATGCTTGTTAGCATGCATCCAAACCCCATTCTTCTGGATCGAAAGCATATAAAATTTCACGATCAGGCAAGTTGATCGACTACAGTTTTACTGTTGTAATGTTCTCCCGGCCGAAGATTTAGCAATCGCTTCGGCCACGATGTTTGAGCCGCAGCCGTACGACTCGGACATCGCCCGTCCCTTACCCGTCTACACGTCGTATTCACACGTGGCGCCCTGCTGTGCATCAGAAGCCATTAAATGCGCGGTGAGGACCATAGTGTCCGTACCACTACTACTCCGGGAAAATCAATCGGTGATGTCACCCGTAAAAATGCCGCTGACATCGAGTAACTGCTTAGGGTTAAGTAGTCATTTGCACTGAACTGATGATACGCATGCTATCGGGTTGCTGGAGTCTCGTTGTCAATGGGGGCAATGGTCAAGATTTAGGCTCCAGTGTGGGGCATCCCTAAAATTCGATACGGCAGGATGGAAGAAGGTTGTCATGAAAACCATACAATAAAATCAAGGCCGATAATAAAAAATTTTAGCATACTCTTCTTGCACATGCTGGCCATGCAAAGCTCTGACGACGTTCATGGTTGTACCGTGGCCCATACCGTACTTCTCCTCTAGTCGCATGCGTCGGGAAAAGAAAAGAAGAATCTACGGCATCAAGTGGCACACGGGTGGACCACTGTGATTGGCCCAGGCTTTGAGCCAGTCACGGCCTGTGGGTCTTGACTGGCTCATTGGGCGTGGGGCCCTAGAGCGTTGTACGAACAGACCCAGTTTCCTCCACTCTCTTTTCCGTGGGGGTCCATGGCCACGAGCAGGAGACCTTTAAGCTTTAAAGAAAAATTCGTAAGGTTTGATTTTGTCTCCCAAGCTTGTAGACGCTTGAGTTGCATGTTAACGTAAAGAATAGAGAAGTCCAGAACACCTACTTTAGAATGTGGGATTCACAGACTAAAGAGATCACTGGGTATCAGTATTTTTCTTATGTCCCAGATCTTTGGGAAAATGTGTTGGAAGATCGGTGGCCAGTCTTCAGCAGCAGCCTTTTGGCCAGCCAGCACAAGTCATCCAACTCCAAATTCTTCCAATAATATGAAATAGTTTTTTTTACTTAGTAATTAGTGCTATAAAGGTTTTGAAAATTAGTAATTATTTATAATCTAAATATATTATCAGTTAAGTATATACTTTAAACACATTCTAAGTTAACCGGCAATAAGGGCCCTTTAGGTTACTTCATATCATTCTTCCCTTTGGAGCTATAGCAAGTTCTTAACAATCTAGACTAAATCATGACATTATTCCTTTGAAGTGAAGAAGTAAAGTATGTTTACACTTTGGTGATGTCAAAGTAGCTCCTAGAGATTGATGTTAAGAAAGTTAATTTAGCTAACATTCTTGCTCAAATGTTGGTGAAAACATGTTATAAAACAACTTAGGAGTTGTTAATTTAGTGGAATAGCTATTCTATAGATAAGGCTATGTGGAAAATTGAAAATGACATGAAAAAAGTGTTTCTAAAGTTCATTATAACTTAGATAACAATCCCAAGGAAGAGGAGAATTGTAGTTGTATTACTATATAATTTGAGCCATTGCTTTATTCACATTCTGTTGTTCCATGACTGTATTGTCATATGAGAAAGTTGTATTGTTTTCTTTCTTTTATGGTTACTTATTATATTATTAATATTATCATTTACACATTTTTTCTCCATGACCATATGTCTTGGACTCCCTTTATGTGAAGCTCCCAAGGCTGTTGTCTAGGGCTGGTTTATGAATGAGGGGAAAATGACATGAACCACAAAAATATTTTTAAAATATTCTATAACTTAGATGATTTATGGTTGGGAAGTTAGCTTAAAATCCACTCCTTATTCATTCCATTGATATCAGAACAACATGTTCTTTTAAGAATGTTCTTTTGGGAATGGTGGAGGAGCAGAATATTAATATTGATGAAAAGTGTGGCATCAGTGATAATGGTCATGACAAGGAGGAGACTTTTTGATAATATCATCTTGAGGCAAGGATGTTATATTATTGAGGTTTAAAGTGACATCAAGAATGTGAAGGATTCTGTTAATTTCATTAAGGATTTTCTACTTCAAATGGACGTTTAAAGTTTGAATCAATCCATTATCTGTGATTACCATAGGTACATCAAACATGCTATAGAATGGAAGTTATCACTATATGTTTGCAATAACAAAAAGTTTTATTATTAATTATAGTTCTGAGAATGTTGTTAGTTTCAGAACCCTTCTAATGACAAGATGAAAATTGATTTTTTTTATG